TGCTATACAAAATTGTTTCACTCTGTTTAGTAAATTTTCAATATTTGGCACCCAGCTGTTTGATAGCGTTTATAAAATAAAACCTGCAAGATTGAAGTTTTCCAGTAACCTGGAACACTTGAGTATATCATGCTCCAAAAATATTCGTCACAAATCTTGAGCAGAAGTCTTTAAATTAGTCCATGGGACAGTTCTGTAGAATTGCATATAGTATTCTTAATTCCAAAGCAGCAATTTTTATTATACGGATGAAGGTGTTTTTTTGGGCTTGTGTTTCAGATGAGGCTTTGGACCCAGGCACGCCAGATGGGATGGTACGCTGCAAAATGTATGGCGGCTGATTCATTAGGAGAACCTCTAGATACGGATTTCAGCTTTGAACTCTTTGCTCACTCTACAAAGTTTTTCAATTACAAGGTAACCAACTGCCTTTAAACAGTCGCCAAGGAAAAGGATGCCCTACTGGTTTCATGCCAAGTTGAGCTAATGATCTACTGTGTATTAAATTAACATCCGTTATTATACATTTGCAACCCATACAGGTAGTTTCTGAGCTATTGGTTGCTTTAATAACCATTGAAAGTTACTATCCCCTTCCACGGTAAAGTGTACTTACAACCCAGTTTTCGCTGTCCAATCTCATTCTTGCAGTCACATGACCGCCTTTCAGTCACTCGCCAACCAGCCCACATTTTTGGTCATTTCGAACTGGAAGGGACTTTGGAGGTCTTCTAGACCCTATACTATTTCAGATAAGTGACTGTCTAGTCTCTTCTTAAAAACCTCCAGTGACGGAGCACCTATGATTCGTAGCATCCTACAGTTGTGTGACTTTGGTTTATGACATTTTTGCTGAAAATTGGCATTTCCTCCATGTTTTCAGCAAAAATGCCCCAGAGAAAAAAACAATGGGTTTTTAATGCCTGCCACAAAAAAAGTCATAAAATTGGTGTTGTGGGTGGCCAGCTTTATGACTGCCAGGCCATAATAGGCAGATTCCATTATGGTTGTAAATTGAGGATTATCCATAGTCTAAGAGATTAACCACTGGGTTGAAGATGATGACTTTGTGTTGCAAATTCACAGCCATAATCGTGCACCCGACTCACCAAAGTTCTGTTGACTGTGGAACCTTTAAAAACTCTTCTCAGCACAGTGGAAATAATTACCAAAGGAGGAATAAGTTCCTCTATTCCACAAGCTGAATTGCAGGAATACATAAAATAGAATAGAATACAATACAATTCTTTATGGGCCAAGTGTGACTGCACACATAAGGAATTTGTCTTGGTGCAAATGCTCTCAGTGTACATAAAAGAAAAGATACATTTATCAAGAGTCAAGAATCATAAGGTGCAACACTTAATAATAGTCATAGGGTACAATAAGGAATCAAATAATACTGGGAAACAGTCAATAAAAATTGTTAGGATACAAGCAACAAGGTTACAGTCATAATTGGGAGGAGATGATTGATAGGAACGATGAGAAGATTAATAGTAATAGTCATACAGACTTAGTAAATAGTTGGACAGTATTGAGGGAATTATTTGTTTAGTAGAGTGATGGCATTCGGGGAAAAACTGTTCTTGTGTCTAATTGTTCTGGTGTGCAGTGCTCTAGTGTCATTTTGAGGGTAGGAGTTGAAACAGTTTAAGTCCAGGATGTGAAGAGACTAGATATTATCACAGCCTTCTTTTTGACTCCTGCAGTATACAGGTCCTTGATGGAAGGCAGGTTGGTAGCAATTGTTTTTTCTGCAGTCCTAATTATTCTCTGAAGTCTGTGTCTGTCTTGTTGGGTTGCAGACCCAAACCAATATTCCCCACTCAATTCCAAATGCATTTTCCAAAGGCAGAATAACGGTTTCGAGTTCAAAAGGAGCCATTTTGAGCTTGAAACATTTAATAATACAAACAGATCTGTTCTGCGCAGAGTTCAACTCCAACATGTTTTGTGTACCGCTGCTAGATAGCTATTTGCTCCGAATGGTATAAATTGGAGCCTGCACTGAGTAGAAGTTGGATTTGATGTCTTAAGTGGCCTTTTTCTACTTTCTAAATGCGGATTCAGAATTGGACAGAAATGAGTACTTGCTACCAACCGTGATCCCTGAGAAGGCGTTTTAACACATCTGGCCCAAGACTCTTTAATGGGTAGTTCCAAATTCTTCATGACTAAATAATGGTGATTTCATACTGAATTTCTAAATTGCCTTAGGACTTTCATCTGATTTTGAATAGCCAGAAGGCCCAGATGTCCACAGAGCAGAAATGAGCAGAAACTGTCTTGTCGTGGTCTTTAAATACCCAAGTAACTAGAAATATGCATAGTATTAAGTTCTGTGTGATTGGACATATGTAAACATTCTGATATTTGAAATCACCTTCCCTGCAAAGGACCTTTATTTTAAAAAAGTATAGGAGACACTGCACAGTCAATCCAAAAGAAATCAGTAATGAGTTTAGGGTTTTTCTGTGCTTTTTTTGCAGTAGTTATCTTAGAATAACAGAGTTGGAAGGGACTTTGGAGGTCTTCTAGTCCAACCCCCTGCTCAATAGCAACAGCACTTAAGACTTATATACCACTTCACAGTGCTTTACAGCCCTCTCTAAGCGGTTTAGACTCAGCATATTGCCCTCAACAATCCGAGTCCTCATTTTAACAACCTCGGAAGGATAGAAGAGCCGGTCAGAATCGAACTGCTGCCAGTCGGCAGAATTAGCCTGCAATACTGCATTCTAACCACTGTGCCAACATAGCTCTTAAGCATGAAACTATATAACATTTCAGACAATATTTTAAAATTTTAGACAATATCAGACTTTTATCGCTTGGTGTTTGTCTAGGTGGTGCTGCTGGGAAAATATAATGCTCAAGGCCTGGGCTTGGACCATGAACTGATGTTGAGGTGCACCAAAGGACAGGAGTACATCAAAGTGGTGATGCAGCGTGGGCGAATGCTGGGAGCAGTGCTGATAGGGGAAACAGATTTGGAAGAAACCTTTGAAAACTTGATTCTGAATCAGATGGATCTCTCCCGCTATGGTGAAGACCTTTTGGATCCAAATATTGATATCGAGGATTATTTTGATTAAACATCGGTGGGGGCGGGGGAATCAGTGCTCTAAGACTGCTTTTGGGGGGAAAAAAACCAAAATGATTTTCTTGAACTGGGATGGACTTAGACTTGGTGTAATCTCAATTTCAAAGGCATGCAGAATCCGACAGAAACTCTTTTATTTAAAGTACTCCTTTATCATCCAAAATAATTTATGCTGGGAATGGTTTACACTCTGGAATCAAACAGCAACTTGATTCTAGCTAGATCATGACTGACTTATTTTCACATGCTGCAATGGCCTCCGTCTACCTCTCTCCCCCTAAAGCTGAAGTATAAAATGCTTAACTGTTTAACAAACTTTTATTTAAATGATTAGATTGAATGCTCTGAAAGCGCATGAAGTTTATTTCCAAACATGTACATTTTGAAGTATTTCTAGCGGGACTACCAGATTCTGTAACAACTTTGCTCCCTATGCCATCAGTTTGGTAAACTTGCAAGCTTTTCTTGACCCATTAAGACTTCTCTTTCACTCGGGGAAGGAAAAATAAGATTGAATACAATGTGGGAATCGAGTCTCTGTTTTTATGGCAAGCCTAAATATTTACAATTGAACCTCACATGCTTAAGGAGTTTTCCGTAAAGAATAGATGTGAGCCCAGGCTCTACATAAGATACTCATTATATTCTAACTCTTTTCTAAAGTAAACTTTTCTAAACTATATTTTCCTTTCAAGCTTTTAGGGCAGTTTTCAGAATTTCAAGACAGCTTCTTGATATTCTGGGGACAATACCTTTGATGTTATAATAAAGGATGTCTATTATAGTTTTTTTTAAGTCACAGAAAATATTGTATTATGTATAATACATATACATAAATATTTTAAGTATTAAGATTTAAGCTATGATTAAAACTTTTACAGATATTACAGTGACCAGATTCAGATACTGCTCAAATTTAATAAATTTACTTTGAAGTATCATTTCTATACTTAGAAACCAAGATGGACCTTAAATCCTGAAAGTGTTTGTTGCTTTGAGCTCTCAAATGAGAGCATCATCAAATAGTTGAGTTAAAAAAGCAAAGAGCTACTTTGAGCTCAATTACATTACAATCTTTTGTGATGTAATTAGGGAGCCTGAGTGCTTGTACAAAACCAGTCATATCTTAAAGACAACATCAACATGGAGAATTTACTTTGATTATGATGACTAAAAAAAATGGAAGCAGTACTAATGGAAATGTATTCTATGTTCATAGACTTTTTCTACACATGAAAGGACCTCTTTTAAGTATCAAAAACCCAAAGCGTTCTTCCCCATTTTTTAAAAAAAATCAGTTTCTCTTCACATTTTAAATCAGAAACTTTATTCTATATAAATCCACTCCACTATGTCTTTTAGAAATAGCAGCCAAAATAAGCACCCTGTACTGAGCACTCTGTCCAATATTCACACCAGAACTGGATTTTTATCCGCAACCACACTTCTGACATTTAATGTCAGAATAAACTTTACCCACTGGACTTTTCAAGGAGAAGCAAGTGTATAAAGTTGCATTTCAAGGCATTTTTATTTCAGCAGCAAATTGGAGCATTTCGTGCCAGGGAGGAGTCTCCCTTCTGAAAAGCCATTTCTTTTTTTTTAAGATAGGATTCCTCTACATCAAGCCTCTAACACAGAGGTCTTCAAACTTGACAGCTTTAAGACTTGTGGACTTCAACTCCCAGAATTCCTCCTCCAGTCATGTTAGCTTAGGAAATCTGGGAGTTGAAGTCCACACAAGTCATAAACTTGTCAAGTTTGAAGACCCTTGGTCTAACACTTGCCTCAAACTCTCCAGTTTCATTACCACAGGTTTTATATCTGTGTTTTAAAAAATCTGTGTATGTATGTCTAAAAACATAAGGAAAGCAGTTTCTTTTGCCAACAGGACTTAGTAGCCAGGGAGCAGCAGATGATAGCAGTCACCAATACACAGCCTGTTTTTTCTGACTCTCTGGCCTGTCTTCCCACAGGCAAAGGTGTGTGTAGGTTGTCCCAAGAAGCCACTTTCTTAATCTATGATCACAAGCTCATCTTCCTCTTTATTAGCCGTACGTTTGACTTTTTTTGCTTTGACGTGATCTTTTGAAGGAGAGCCACCTTCCTGGTTTGGGGATGTAAACTTCATTTTCTTTCCTGGGGTCCTTGGACTGGATAATTGAGAACATTTCCCCTGTTGATGAAGCCATTTTTAATATATTAAAGCAAATACAAACTTTACATGGCTAATGCTTTTCTGAATCTTCTCCTTGAAAATCCTGGCAGATATGATTCCGTAAAAACTCAATCTTTTGCTTTTCTCTGAGTTAGGTTATAGGGTTAAAAAAGACATTGTTTTGATTAGACTTTAATAGCAGGCCTTCCAAATATGTCCATCAACTCAAATCAATATGACCGTTGCTAAGAGATTTTTGGTAGCTGTAGTCCAAACCTTTTGGAGGGCACCTGATTAACTTCTCTAGAACTTGATAATAGCAAGCAATAAAGGAAACTGATACAATGATGCCAGTGTGTTTTAAATATTTGAAGGATGTAGATCTATTACCACGCCATATCTCTTTGGAATTGATCATGGAATCATTTAGCTCAGTGATCCCCAACCTTTTTGACGCCGCGGCCCGGTACCGGCATCAGCTGGGCGCCGCGGCCCGGTACCGGCATCAACTGGGCGCCGCCATCTTTTTTTGACGAAAAAGTGCTTCCGGTGACCTCACCGGAAGCACTTTTTCGTCAAAAAAGATGGCGCCAGCGCTTCCGGTGAGCTTTTTCGGGTAGAAATGGCTTTCTACCCGGAAAAGCTCACCGGAAGCGCTGGCGCCGCCATCTTTTTTTGATGAAAAAGTGCTTCCGGTGAGCTTTCTACCCGGAAAAGCTCACCGGAAGCACTTTTTTACCAAAAAAAGATGGCGGCGCCCAGCAACCAGCGGCCCGGTAAGACTTGTTCCGCGGACCGGGACCGGTCCGCGGACCGGCGGTTGGGGACCCCTGATTTAGCTGACACACAAATCACATTTTAGAATGGTAACATTTAATGCAGTCTCCCAGTAGCCTTTAACTTTATTATCTGCTCACACCAGTAATTTAATACTTGTGAGTTTCACAAAGCTGAGACATCATGTGACTGCATAGATCCTACTCTAATTGTTCAAGTAAATCATGCATCAAGAAGTTACTTATGTAAGTTACATAAATACACATTCAGGAAAAAAAAGTATAAGATTGAATTTTGAAACAGGCAGTTGTTGCTACAAGTTCACTGGCCCAATGAAAACTACAGCGACATCAAAATTCAAATTTCATTTGAGTTCTGTTACCCTTGAAGATTCAAGACTAACAGAAACTGTCTTGGGAAATCAATTCCATGAAGAAGCAGCTGCCTGTTTCCAGAATTCAAAATTACCACCTTGATATTCCTGGGAAGGCAGCAGAGCTATGAGAGACTTCTCAATTTGTCTCCAAGATCTATCAGACATAAATCAAGTGAAGATATAAATAGTAACCTCCTAATGCACTTCTGCGAGTCCCTTGGACTGCAAGGCGATCGAACTGATCAGTCCTAGAGATCAACCCTGACTGCTCCTTAGAAGGCCAGATCCTGAAGATGAAACTCAAAAGACTTTGGCCACCTTAATGAGAAGGAAGGACTCCCTGGAGAAGAGCCTAATGATGGGAACGGTTGAGGGCAATAGAAAAAGGGGATGGCAGAGAATGAGGTGGCTGGATGGAGTCACTGAAGCAGTTGGTGTGAGCTTAAATGGACTCTGGGGGATGGTAGAGGACAGGAAGGCCTGGACGAACGTTGTCCATGGGGTCATGATGGGTCAGACATGACTTCGTGATTAACAACAACAACAACAACAACGCACTTCTCAGATATAAGCTATAGTGAAGATTAATAACTTGGAAATATACCACAGCCAGAATTACTAGAATCAGTTGTTGAAAAATAAGGAAAAAGAAATAACACAGGCTCACCTTAGCAGCTTTATTTTTGCCCTGCATAGTGATAACATGAGCCTTATCTTTCAAAAGATTAGCTCTGGGTCCTATCTTCACATAGGATATTGTGGCAAAGGCTGTGAAACTGAAGTCTTCCCTGGAAGGCAAAGTCTTTTGTTAACTGAAAGGAAGGATTTAAGAGAGGTTTTTATAGGACCTGCACTAAGATTAGACACCAACCGCTAAAACCAGCAATCCGTGATGGAGATACAAACACTGGGGGAATGAAGAATTTACGTGGGTTGTCCGGAAAAGGGCAGGTTTTAAAAAGCCACTGGACTTACTTCAGATACTGCTGCAGAATCAAATGGGCAACGATTCTCTCCAATACCTCACGGGGAAGTTTGGGAGCAGCAATCTCCAATCCCAGTTTTGACAGACCCTTCCCCAGCCAAGCATCGATCAACTTCAGAGGAGTGAATTTCTGCTTCATTTGGTCCACTTGCTTCAAAATCTTGATGAGTTCCCTGCAATGCTCCGTCACATCCATCTTCTCCAATGCTGAGAGGGGAGAATGAACACAACACAAACAAACCTCAATTCCAAGGAAGAGTAGAAAGATAAAAACAGTAATTAAGATTCAGTTTCTGCCCTACATGGAACCTTTTGGGTAATCAACTCCCGTGTTTTTAAATATGTAAAAAAACAAAAAATGAAAGAACAGAAACTAATCGGGGATCCGCCAGCAGAGTGGTCCAATGTAAGAAGAAAATGAACCATTATATTTGCTATGTAGTTTTAGAAGGATTATTAATTTCAATTTTTTAGGTAATAAAAGTTAAATGTTCATTGAGATTAAAAGGGGAGATAATTAGTGAATATGTAAGCTTTAGAGGTGGCACACTTAAAATTGGTAATTTAAGGGGGAAACTAACTTTAGAGATTGATTGTATTAAATCAGATTTTATGAATGGATGCAATAAGAATTTGTGATGAAATATGCAAATGTGGCAGTTAAAAGTATCAAAGTATAATATGAGAAATATTGGTGAATTAAATAATGAGGCAAGCATTTGGAATAATATAATATAAAAATTGAATATGTAACTATGGTCATATTTGTATGCAAAGATGAACCTGTAATCATGCTGTTCACTAAAAAGAGACCTTTTTAAAATGTGGAAAACTGAAATAAAACTTGTTTTTAAAAAAAGAAGAAAATGAACCAAACAAGTCTGAAAATACAGGTTCTCTTGTCGACAGGCCCAATCCTAATTTCTCATAGAGTGATCAGCTGCATCAGCAACTTTCAAAGAGGCTCTAGGGATCCATGGATTCAGGACTTCAGACTATGCATCCCTAATTCAAATCCTGCCTGTCAAGGAAAAAGCCTATGGAAGTCTATCAGTAGCATCCTAGATGTTCATCTCCACAAACCAGTCGTGTGATTACTGGTAAACAATTTAAAGTGTACTACAAAATCTCAAGAAAACAGACATCAAGGAAGGTGTTTGATAATAAGGAGTTTACAACCGGGGAAAGAAGTCAGTGTTATCTCAGATTATCACATGGATTTCTGTCAGTTGTTGAGATACGGATAAGTAAATATTAGATTGGGAAGAGTATAAAAAGATAACTCATGCCCAAGACATTTCTGCTATCCTTTCTCATTTGCATATGAGTCAAACAAATCTATTACGCAAATGCCTTCAAAAGCCCTGACAGAGAAATGGTTACTCATTTGATTTGTGAACGTATGCTATGCTACGCTAACTTTTATCAGCAGGAAGGTCTGATGATATTCTTAACAATCTCTAATTGTGCTTGATGAACCGTTACACTAACGGCGGAACTAAAAAGCAGAGATCTACAAGAGGATTTCTGAATCCGGAACAATGACTCACGACCGGCTCTTATGCCGATTGCAAATTATCACTTTCATCTTCTAAGCTCTTAAAATTCCACTTCGGAAAAACCAAGTTGGCAGCGATTCTCTTCACGGGGTTTTCTTTTTCCTGCTCGCTCACTTACTCTCTTCTTGGCAGCAGTTATCACACATTTTATTACAACTGGCAGAATCCCAGGCCTCGTCAAAGTGATGAGCGATCTGGACTCGGCGGCATCTGCAGCAGAAATACCAGAAACAATCAATGGGTCTTACATGCACAACCACCTACAGTCTACAGCAGGAGTGTCAAACACAAGGCCGGATATGGCCTGTGATGTGGTCAGATCCCACGTCATTTTGGCCCAGTCTACCCAATGCAAAGAGGAAACATGCCAGAAGTTTGGGAAGTGACGTCAAGCTGGCCACAGCCACCCAGTTGGCCACACCCACCTAGTCAGTCATGCCCCTGACCTCACTCCTCGCAATCAACCACAGCCCTGATGTGGCCCTCAATGAAATTGAGTTTGACACCCAGGGTCTATAGATACTCCTTAATTGTCATCATAAGTCGAGGACTACCGGTATTCGTTTTTAAAGTTCTGATATCTGCCTGTTGTGGTTAGCGGGCAGCAGGTGCGGAGGGTGGACAGCGAGGACTCGGAGGAGGGGCCGGGACCATCAGGGAGTGGACTGCTGCCTTCGGGGATGGTGGGGGCTGGCAGCAGTGATGAGGAGGTTCCAGAAGAGCCTGTGCTAAGTGCGAGTGAGCGCAGGATGATTCATAGAAGAGAACAGCTGAAGCTGCACAGACGACTTGGGAATAAGGATGCAATGTAATGGCCCCTCCCTCTAGGGAATATAAGCCTGGTTTCAAATGGTTTTTGCCTTTGCAAAAGGTAAAAACGTTCGAAGGACTTAGTGTTATGATTACAGACTCCAATTTATTTGAAGACTTCTGCCAAGGTTTTTCTAATTGGACTAATTGGCTGCAAGCCATGTTATCTACAAAGAGGTTTATTTGTAGATTAAAGGCATGAAAGTTTGAGTTACTGAGTTTATCTGTTTTTGCTCT